CACTAGCATTCAAATGCGATAGTTCAATCTTGGTGATTGACCCTACTTGGAAATTGTATAATAAAATTTATAATGTACACGATTGCGATGTTGAAAATTTAGTTTTATAAAACAATTATAACTCTACGCACTTGAAGAATTGGTAGTGGGTTGTAATTTGGCCGGCGATAATATGCGCTGTGGCGTACTGTCAAACTTGCTCGGAACGACAGTAGCATTCTGTTGCGATATTTCAGTCATACTGGTAGGCCCTACTACGGAAAAGTATAATGAACTTTAGAATGTACACGATTTTGATTTTGAAATTTGAGCTTCATAAAATAGTTATAACTATACTCACTTGACGATTTGGTAATGGGTCGTGTTTTGCCCGGCGGTAAGATGCGTTGCGTAGGACTCTCGATCTGGCTCGGTTCGACAGTAGCATTCAGATGCGATGTTCCAATCCTAGTAGTAGATCCTACTTCGGAAAAGTTTATTGAACTTTTGAATGTACACGATTTTGATGTTGAAAGTTTAGCTTTATAAAATAGTTATAACTATACTCACTTGACGCATTGGTAAGGAGTTGTGGTTCGGCCGGCGGTACGTTTTGTTGCGTAGGAGAGCGACCGATTGCATCCAAAAATGAAGTTTTAAGTAGCGTAGCATTCGCTACTTTAGACGTATTAAGAACGGATGTTACTGGTTCTACAATTTGCATGAATGCTCTGTAATTAAACTTACGAGTTATTGTTAACAGTATACGAATTTCTCATACATTTAAAATTTTAAAAATAATATAATACTATGATTATATCTGTCTTTACATTCCCCGTAAAATTAACGGAAAATGATTTTAAGAAAAAATTCCCCTATATGTATTGTTCAGTACCTATGTATGGTTTTAAAAATGACCCTGCAGGATAAACGAAAGTATTTTTATTTTTACACATGTACTCATCATATACGCTATATCGCTGTACAGTGGAACTTTAAATAATTACAATTTTGAGTCGTTAGAGGATTTAAAAAAAAAAAGTTTTCTTTTTAAAATAACAAAGTTTTTCTCGTATAACCACCAGAAATCCGCAAACAAACGATAAAATTGCAATTTTCATATTTTAAAAATAAATATCGTCTGTAATCCCTATTTTTACTATATAAAAGTTGAATTTCTATTAGGCCGTAGGGATGACAAATCGTAGGGTATTATCGTTATTGTTCAGGAAATTATGTCGCAAATTAATGAAAATGCATGTACACGATATTATAACTAACATTTATCAAATGTGATTTTTAACAATTTACATTTTCTTACTTTTCCAGTCTAAATTTGTATCTGTTATCATTACATGCAATCAAACAAATTCAGACTAAACGGTTGATTTATCGGAACACCCAAAATCCAAAGTCGAATGAATTGTACACCCGATTTTCGAGGAATTATATTTTACATTATACAACTATATAGATAACAAAGTAAATACATAGGTAATTGGATTGATCGAATTTTGGAGATAATATTTTTTTTAGACAGTAGTAATTGACAGTGACCATTTTCCTCTTCCAAAAAAATAATACCATTTTTCTACTCTTTATTCGAGTAACGCAGAGCTTTTTGTCAATTGCTACGCACTGAAACAAATAAGTATACGAATCATCAATTACTATAGAATGTAAAGTAAAACAGAATAGAACATTTAGGAATAATTTTAAGACAAAAAACAGTATACGAACCTCGGATTTATCAACCGTTCTGGGCAAATGTAGGGCCAACTTCGGTGCCATCGATTTCGCAATCCGCACGATGGCTTCGCCGCCCCCGTAAGCCTCGCACAAGACCGACGGGCTGTACGAGTCCAGGCGGAGGTACTGGGGAGCTACGGGGGCGACGTGACCACTACATTTGCCTGTTGACCACTCGGTCCGGTATAAAAATCTGACGTTTTCGGCACAGCCATATACACCGGCGTTGTGCCGGGCCAATTTAATTTTTGTTCGATCAATATCCATAGCGATCACTGATGTAAAATCAAAAATTAATAAAGAAAAAAAAAAAATTTAATGTTATAAATGAACATAATATATTGCGTAGGTACGGTAGGTAGGTATGTTACCTTTACGACAAGATTTGGCTAGCTGAATCGCTTTTTCGTCGGCGCCGCTGAACGGGTCAACGGCGACCCCGTCTGGAAACCGACTCCGGTCGGCAATATGCTTCGCCAATACTTCGGGACATATCGAATAG